CTTCGGTCAATAAATTCGCGCTCTAACCACTTGGTCCACCTAGTCAGGTGTTAGAACAATGTCATACGTATAGAGGATTTCTAAGGCGCATGCAACTTGGTTGATCGGTCTATTCCCCTTGACACGTTTGCCTTTCAAGGAATGCCCCAGAAGCCCGTGGACGTAATGAGTTCTTTGTATTGTTGGACTACCGGACGGGAGGGCACACGGAGAGCTCTCCAAAAGCTTTCGAACACGAAGGAGTTTTCAGTCTCTCCATTCCTATTTACCTTCCTCATCGGTGAAATAATGGGACGAAAGCTAAAAGGTCAGAACCTCGGTGTCCGAATGTCCTCTGACGAAAGCCTTGATGACCTGGAAAACACAGGCGAAACTGCCCTGGCCTTCGACGAGAAGAAGGTACAGGTGCTTTGGGATGAACCAAACATAATCAAATCGTTGAGCTGGAACACCATTTTGGTGCCTAGCTGCCACGCCACCTGAAGAAAGCACGGTGGCTGGATACTGCCAGGTTGCCCAAGCCTAGACAGGGGAAGTCGAGAGGCAGAGGTCGGATTCGAACCACGGACCTTCCGGCCAGTAAATTCGCGCTCTAGCCACTTGGTCCGTTTCACCCTAATAGTGAGAGTATCTTAAGCAGAGATGTGGAGAAGCCTTCAGCCGGCAGAGGAGTATAAAAGGGATTACGGAACTTTTGGGTGCTGTCGGTGCTACTCGCCTTCCAGGATAGAGACCGGTTAGTCCCCACCGCGCCTGGTTAGAGGCTCTGCAAGATATGGCTACTAATCGATGAAATATAGCGTTCATGTTGTCAATTTCCATCCAGGTTGCCTGAATGAGCGTCTGAAGATGTAGGCACCTCGGAGTGATTGTAGTAAGGTAGCACTAAGTCCCTTACCTGTCCGCCTTAACTTTTCTTCACCATAAGGCTGTCAAACAAATCATGGTTGTATGGCGGCGAAGCATCCGTTTTGAACACTGATGTCATGTTGTGGAGTGATGGAACTCCGGTTCGCTCGTATGCCAAATTCGGTTGATTCATTAAAATAAAACGTTGTAGAAACGCTTGGCAACAAAAAACTTTACGGAATAATCAAAGCGCCAGTGTTGATATGGACTGACGTATGCAATTATCAGATCATACGGGCTGTCTAGTGGGAGTCTTACAACACTATGCGATAGGTTTATTCTAGACGGAAACGGTTCAGCTGTAGCACCCTCCCGGTGCCTAACTGCCATGCCATCCGAAGGTTGCACGAGGGCTGGGATACTGCCAGGTTGCCCATGCCCAGACGGGGAAGTCGAGAGGCAGAGGTTGGGCTCGGACCACGGACCTCCTGGTCAGTAAATTCGCGCTCTAACCACCTGAGCCATCTCTACTCAGTCAGAAAGGCGAATGTGCATTTTGACCACCTTGGATAGACCTAAAGAATGGAAACACTTGCAGCAAACTTGTGCAACCTCTAAAGTGAAAATGAAAAATCATTCAGCAGTGGCAACGTTTCGGTGGAGCTCTCGAAGTAAGGACGAGGGCTGAGACCGTCGAGTTGTGTAAAGGACTCTCAGGTTACACTTAAAATACTGTGTAAGGTGAAGATGAGAAGCCTGCAAAATCCGTTTTTACTACTCAGCTCGTTGTTAGTAATGCCCTTTTTCAGTGCTCCAGGAAAGATCTGCCGACCGGTCCAGCCTCAATATCCCGAGAGTTCATAGGTGAATAGACAAGCAAACTGCTGGTCACCGCGGCTAAATAACCACTTGAGAACAGTTAGTCCCCACCGCGCCTGGTTAGAGGCTCTGCAAGATATGGCTACTAATCGATGAAATATAGCGTTCATGTTGTCAATTTCCATCCAGGTTGCCTGAATGAGCGTCTGAAGATGTAGGCACCTCGGAGTGATTGTAGTAAGGTAGCACTAAGTCCCTTACCTGTCCGCCTTAACTTTTCTTCACCATAAGGCTGTCAAACAAATCATGGTTGTATGGCGGCGAAGCATCCGTTTTGAACACTGATGTCATGTTGTGGAGTGATGGAACTCCGGTTCGCTCGTATGCCAAATTCGGTTGATTCATTAAAATAAAACGTTGTAGAAACGCTTGGCAACAAAAAACTTTACGGAATAATCAAAGCGCCAGTGTTGATATGGACTGACGTATGCAATTATCAGATCATACGGGCTGTCTAGTGGGAGTCTTACAACACTATGCGATAGGTTTATTCTAGACGGAAACGGTTCAGCTGTAGCACCCTCCCGGTGCCTAACTGCCATGCCATCCGAAGGTTGCACGAGGGCTGGGATACTGCCAGGTTGCCCATGCCCAGACGGGGAAGTCGAGAGGCAGAGGTTGGGCTCGGACCACGGACCTCCTGGTCAGTAAATTCGCGCTCTAACCACCTGAGCCATCTCTACTCAGTCAGAAAGGCGAATGTGCATTTTGACCACCTTGGATAGACCTAAAGAATGGAAACACTTGCAGCAAACTTGTGCAACCTCTAAAGTGAAAATGAAAAATCATTCAGCAGTGGCAACGTTTCGGTGGAGCTCTCGAAGTAAGGACGAGGGCTGAGACCGTCGAGTTGTGTAAAGGACTCTCAGGTTACACTTAAAATACTGTGTAAGGTGAAGATGAGAAGCCTGCAAAATCCGTTTTTACTACTCAGCTCGTTGTTAGTAATGCCCTTTTTCAGTGCTCCAGGAAAGATCTGCCGACCGGTCCAGCCTCAATATCCCGAGAGTTCATAGGTGAATAGACAAGCAAACTGCTGGTCACCGCGGCTAAATAACCACTTGAGAACAGAAAATCCCCCGGAAGAAATGGGACTCCTGCATCTCAACACTTCTCGGACCAGTCCACAAAATTGTTTCTTTAAGTCAATAACACTGCAGCTGTTTCGCTGGATGCGTACCTCAATATTAGCAAGCATCTATTAAAACATAAAAAGTCGCTGAAAATTCATACATTTTACTATAGGATGCTTCGAAATTAGCGCTGCGTTTAATTTCATTTGACCACGAGTTACTGCGGACAGTCCTGTAACTCGACACTTCCCCCAAAGAGCTGATAAATCGCACTAAGCTCAATTGCTCTTTGAAGAATGTGTACAGCACCAGGAGCTGCGTTGGTTGAGACATGTGTTACGTATGCCGAGCCATCGTTTGCCGAAGGGAGTACTGTTTTCCATGCCCAATTCGGAGTGGCATAAACAGAGAGGTGGCCAACCCATGACCTGGCAGAGGAGTATGAAGGAGATCACGAAACGCTTGGGTGCTGTCGGTGCTACTCGCCTTCCAAGATGGGGACCGCGTGATCCTCACTGTGCCTGGTTGGAGACACTACAGGATATGGCTGCCAACCGATGTCAGTGGCGTTCTTGTTGTCAGTTTCTATCCAGATTGCCTGAGTGAATGTCTGGAGGTGTAGGCACCTCGGAATGATTGTGTTAAGCTAGCACTAAGTCCCTCCCCCATCCACCTTTATTCTTTTCTTTACAATAAGGCTTTCAAATAAGCCATGGTTGTACGGCAGTGAAGCATCGGTGTTGAACACTGATGTCATGCTGTCGATGATGATGATGATGATGATGATGATGATGATGATGATGATGATGCTCTTCAGTAAATATTTTCGCCCCAATATATGACGTACAACATCCGGTGTAGGGCACGGCTGCTAACCACCACCAATACATCGCTACCGATTGGTAATTTGTACGAGCGTTGAATGGCAACCAGTTAGGTCCAGGGACCTGTGAAGTCAAGTCATACCAGTAATGAAATCCGGGATTGTCTTGACCTTTCGCGCCTTAGTCAACAAGTTCAGCGAGCTCAGCAATGGTCGGGGCATCTGTCGCGTAGGGGCGGTGCTGAAAACGCCAAAAGAAATCTATTCTTAAAACACACCAAGGATGCAACTGCCGCCTTGGAGAAATATTTTCGCCCCAATATATGGCATACAACATCCGGTGTAGGGCACGGCTGCTAACCACCACCAATACATCGCTACCGATTGGTAATTTGTACGAGCGTTGAATGGCAACCAGTTAGGTCCAGGAACCTGTGAAGTCAAGTCATACCAGTAATGAAATCCGGGATTGTCTTGACCTTTCGCGCCTTAGTCAACTAGTTCAGCGAGCTCAGCAATGGTCGGGGCATCTGTCGCGTAGGGGCGGTGCTGAAAACGCCAAAAGAAATCTATTCTTAAAACACACCAAGGATGCAACTGCCGCCTTGGAGAACTGAAAATCTGGCTCATTATGTCCAAGATAAATACGTAAAACGTCATCAAGTTGTAACACTCGGCGCCTAGCTGACACGCCACTCGAAGGAATCACGAAGTCTGAGATACTGCCAAATTGCCCAATCCTAAATAACAGCAGTCGCGATGCTATGGTTGGGTTCAAGCCACGGACTTCCGGTAAGCAGGTTTGTACCTTACACACCGAGCTGTCTTAAGCTGTCTCGAGGTTGAAGTAAGCAGCCCATTCAGGTAGGTAACGTTCCATAAGCCTCTATTTTTGTTGTAAAACGTAGTGGGCACTGTCGATACCTCTGGATTAGCGTTAATATAATTACTATTATCACAACCTTTCGATCTTTCATTCTTGTGACCTAATCTGAGGAGCCAACTGAATAAAATTGTCACCCTATGTTGGCTTATGTGCACTGCAATTATTTTTAAGCGTTTATTTAGATTGCACTCTATTTGTCCAAGATGTAACTGTCTTATTGTGCAATCTTCGGTGACCCACACGGTTTCTGTGTGCACGAGCTGCGAGTGTAGACGACAAACCAGTGGTACCTAAAGCGCCATCCGGCGACCATGTATAACTATACGGTCGCAAATGAGGTATTTACCATACATGTTCAGTTTGTACGAGACGAACCAACGAGAGAGAGTATACGAAGCTGTCGTAATAGCATCGGCCTAACAACTATGATCAATTGAACAAAAATGATGGATAGTCAAAAAGGCTAACGGGTAAGTTAGGAAAGTAGTACCTTGAATACGTCCCCATAGGTACCGCTGCCGATGCAAGCCAATACTTTATACTCCTCCTTCGGGTCATTTTGCTTCACAAACCGTTTAAGATATTCAAGCTTGGGATGACTCATATAAGACGGAAGGACAGCATCGAAGGTAGCTTGAGGCTCGACTACATAAAACAGGGTGCCTTGAATGTCGAAGTTTCATTGGTCGAATTTTCTGCCCTCTGCTGTTGGGCTGAGGTCAATGCGTTCAGTAGGTTTAATGGATTCAGGTGCAGAAACGAGTGGGAAATGGAACACCCGTAAGCTCGTGTCGGCGAATGTACGTTCTACAGCTCCGGAGTGAATAGCGGAAAATAAGGGAATAGGCTGTCCTTCACCATTTTCAACCTTGGACAAACGTGGATCAGTGGGACGTGACATTCGGTGGGTTCATTAGGTATGTACTCAAGAAAGATTCTGGAGAACCGCAATGCCTGCTCGCATTATGCTAGTCCTTATACTGAACTTCGCAGCACCTTCAAACCCAGCTTAGTTTTTCGCTCCCTTCCTTTGTGTAACTCACGTTTCATGGATTCAGAGATTAGTGCACAGGATCGAGGCTTTCGCCCATGCTTCCCGGGTCGGTTTTGTTCTTGTCGTCCAGTGGCTGCCATTCACCTGCCAAATACAAGTGAAAAATGGTGTATCACTGCTCTTTAAATTGTCAGTGGGAGCATTAAGCATGCCAGCGTGAGGGCTCGCATAAAAGCGTTTAATAATGCTCTGGACTGGGTACTAGATGTAGCGTTGAAACCGGCGGAGGAAGGTTATTACACGCCGCAACTACTTGAAATGCAAAAAACTTTGCCAAATGAAAGTTTTTGCTCTGAGTTTGGAAATCTTATCGCCATGTCTTCACCGTGTATTTGCTGGGTCAATGATGAAAAATCCATCGGCCAACCCCAGTTCAGACGAGGCACAAGCAAGAATCAGGTCCCCACAGAGGCGGCTACACCAGGGGAAACGGGTCAAGCACCACGACACGCATTTCATGGTTCACAGATTTAAGGCCATCAACCATTTTGTAGCAGCTCGTTGGACACGTTCAATGAGGATTACGTCATTCTTGTGTCCTGAGTAGATATCCTCTCAAATGACTCATGGTAAATGGGCTTCCCTGACCTAGCCGGTCTAATGGTGATCGTGCCTTCATCGGATAATGCCCACCTATAATGATGCTGTCCTTTTCCAAACCACCTGTGCTCAAATTTCTCGCCAGTCATGCTGTTATTCTGACTGCAACATTATTATCATACCTGACGTTACGCCACCAACTAGTTGGGAATAAACGTTATCATTAGTAGTAATTGTACCATATTATTACGACTTGGTTAGCATATTGAAGAAGTGGTCTGCCACGGGTTCCACGGATCATTTTAGCCGTCTCCCAATATCACTGATTTAGCGCGCATAATTTTATCCGAACAAGTATGGGCTATATGTTAGCACCGGTTGCACTTCCTTTCAGTAGCTTACCCACTTGGTAAAAATGTGTCAGATTATGGCGGGCTGCTCTCAACAAACCATAAAAAATATGGAAGAAACGGGTGTCCAATGTGGAACGCGGGATTCAATGTCACACTTTGCTGGCTTTGCGGCGTTTTTAGTACACGGGTGTAAAAAGATATCCAGGGACCGACGGTTCGAGTGCCTCGATTGCCCGTCTTCCCAGCTGTTTTTACATGAGGAAAATCATGTATCACCAAGTTAATGGATCACCAGTCAATAATGTGGCCAAGTCCTCCCTCCCTAGTGGAAAAGCCGACGCAGTTCTTTACTTTAATCAGAGCTCTCGAGGCTAACCTCGTATATTTTCCCCGTAACTTTCCAGGATGCGAACACATGGCAGCCTTGCCGAAAATCCACGATGAATTTCACCTGTAAACGAGTGTCAAACTGTATGTACCACGTGTCCGGTAACCGCCATAAAGGTGCTGCAGCCGTCTGGTGCTGCATTCAAGGAAGCCACGGCATCACCGGCCGAATCGCGCAAGGGAAAATCCAGGATGATCAACTGGAACACACTTTCCGACACGATCCAGCCAATAAAACTGATGGAGTCGCTTTCTGTTATCAGTTTTACAGAAGCTGAACGCGAACCTCTTCACTGGGGTTGATAACAAGGAAGGAGACCCAGATAAAACTTCAGGCTTCATGTAGCCGTCTCCTATTCCACCCGCGGTATGGAAGATCATAAGACGTCCTTAGTGCTCAGAAGACCTTTGGACCGTGAAAGCATAACCAAGCAGGTTCTCGGTTGAGGCCTTAAATAAGCCTGTGAACTCAGCGAACTGGATTAATGATGCAGACACCAGAAGCTGAGAACCTCTTCACTGGGGTTGATAACAAGGAAGGAGACCCAGATAAAACTTCAGGCTTCATGTAGCCGTCTCCTATTCCACCCGCGGTATGGAAGATCATAAGACGTCCTTAGTGCTCAGAAGACCTTTGGACCGTGAAAGCATAACCAAGCAGGTTCTCGGTTGAGGCCTTAAATAAGCCTGTGAACTCAGCGAACTGGATTAATGATGCAGACACCACTCGTGACCCTAAGGACCGGGATCGCGAATCCGATACCACTGTACATAAAATCTCATGCACATCTCTTGCGAACGAGGCGAAAGTACGTCTGAACGCAAAAAGGGAAACCGCAAATGAATAAGCCATACAAAACACGACAAATCGGGAAGCTGGTTGCTAATTTAAGGGTGAGGTACCCCACGGAAACGGATTTGTTGGAGAGGCTATAAAATGTACTCTCCAGTGATTTTCTGAACTATCCGGCAGGCAGGTCGACCCTCCACAACTGCCTTGATGGCTAATTTATTTCAAAAGACAAGGGAACGAATAACCGCGAAACTTGAGTTTCCATGAGTGCAAAATGCGCGGCTTCAGGCACCGTAAGCAGAAGGCGTCAAATATTTCGCCTAATAGGTGAGAAAGCACCCCACAGATACCAACTTAATGAGAGCAAAGTTACCCCAGGGAAAGTGGTCACGTGCGCGGTAGTGGTCATTTTGAATCCTCGGAGTCGGAGCCAGCGTATAAGTATTGAATCTGCCAGCCTTTATGGTTTCTCAGTATACCCTCGCACTCACAATTCGAAGCAGCAAAGCTGCATTGAAAAGATTTTCCACGGGCCATCTCAGTCTTTTAAACAAGCTTCGGGATATTTAGAAGCCGGTTTGTGCTGAAAGACGGTCCCTAAACGCGCTTATAAACACCTGACTCACATCTGACATCTCCGATAAAAAATCGGTGGACAGCGACACCGCCTATTCGGCGTACTCGAAACTCGGTGGACGGTGATTATCACTTTACGTAGTTTCTCTTGGTGTGCGAGTATACTGAGCGCAAGGCCCCTGCATGGTTTCCACCTCTAGTAGACCCTGTTCATGGGGGGCGTCTCAAATAAAACGATGTCTGAAACGATGTCTCAAATCGTGCATCGGGGAGTTTCGGCCTACAAAGAGGGACCCATCAGATGAACTTGATAAGGTAAGTCACAATAAATCGTTTGCTTTTTTGAGAAACAGAACATATACGGTTAGGTAACCTAGCCAACGAACGTTTCTCATATAGGCAGAATCGGAGAGCCCGCAGGCAATTTTACCTGCCAAGCCCTAATGGAAGGTGAGTGCAGAGGCTTGTAAATTGTCTCGCTACCAACTCCGTTAAGCCCATGGGGCAAAACGGACCGCTTATCCGATGTTTTGCACCTTAAACTTGCTTCCAATATAACGCTACGTATTTCGTCAATTGCACAATTGTTTTTTGTTTGAATACGAAAAACTACAAAACAGGGACTTGCACAAAAATTCACCCACTGCAAACGTAGTCACGTGCTTCGACTCTCCTGATTTTGCTAGCGCTTACAGTGATCATTCGTGAGTCTCATGTGCTAACTCTGGTATCAAAATATTTCAGGCCATCTTTGGAGCCTATTATAAGTGGGAACTACTCAGAAAAAGAAACCTGGGAAACCGGGATTGGATTAGTGTTAATTCGCTGATCTGGGCCAGCGACGAACTATTTTGGAGAGAACAATTATTACTGAGTCTTTTCCATTTGTCCTCTCTTTTATTGTATACTTTGATTAGTGGCAAATTGATTGCGTGCCTCATTGGTTGACACGCCTGTGTCTCGTTTAATACATCAGAGATTCAATTGTTCGCTTACCCGTTTCAAGTCGCACCCGTTTGGCCGCACGTACCTAATACACCCGTATCTTTACTCACAGGTTTTCTGACTTACTAGGAACCTACAGAAATGGCACGGTTCTGACAAAACCATAGTACCAAACGCCCAAGGAATGCTTGGGGAATTTACCATTACTGAAGGTTCTTGGCACCAATACGTGGAAAGGGCGAATTGTTAATTTATTGCAAACGAGGTCTCGGACGAAAAGCGAAAAGTGGCTCGGCAACCTACCGTTTGATGCGCGGCTTGGTCGCCCTTGATTTACAACATGTGAAAACCTTTAACAATCTTGTATCTAGTGTCTACAAGCCTTACGATCCTAAACCTAGTGTTATCGCCTAGCGATGTACTAAAATACAAGCGTACAAAAGGAAGAATTCATTGCAGGTTTTGCGGCGGGATTACGGAAACTTACAGGCTACGTGACTATGTGAATTTTCAAAACGATATGCTCAGAGATCTTTTAGTAGTTGGCTTAATAAGCGCTCGCATACGGCAGTATTTGTTCGCTGACAGTAATTTAAATTTAAAAACGATCCAGGATAATGCGGTGGCACTGGAACAAGCGAAAAATAACGCACGTTTGCTGCAATTTGTGCAAATTGCCGTTACATCAGAGGCGGTGGATTCGTCTGAGGTGAATTGGATGCAGGATTAATCGAACAGAACACAATTTAATTGTTATCATTATTGAGGCCGACACACGCAAACTGATTGTAATTGGTGAAAGAAAAGTAGCAAGATTGTGCCGATCAGTGGCAGCATTCGAAAGCAACTTTGCCTCACGAATCTAGTTACATAATCAGAAATTCCGGGATACGTACTTCATGCGACTGCCCCCACCAGCCGCGTTCAATCTCCGTATCACGTAGCGCTGCTGGTGAACAATACGCCAATAGCCCTTTAGCTGGATGCCAAAAGTGCAGTTACACTCTGTAGTGAAAAATCATGGTAAGACATGTCGGTACCGACCGAGAAAGCTAAAGCTCAATAAGCCGCCGTCAAGCTCCGACCGTATGCATGGGAAAGGGGCAAGTTCTAGGAACGAAAAATGTGAATGTTTCGTACAAGGGGGTGACGGTGAACGAAAACGTATATATTGCTGGAGGGAGTGGTCCAAAACTGTTAAAAAGTGATGGGCTAAAACAATTACCCGTACTTACGGTAAACCAGGTGTCAACACTTCCCGAGGTTTAGTCTCTTCAGAACCAACGACTGGCAAGTTTTCCGAGGGGAGGGTGAATAAATGTGTTCCGCCGGGAACACAGCCACGTTCCCTAAAGACTCGGTGAATGTCTTACTTGATGCGCCCAAAGGCTGAAGAAGAACATAATCATTTACAGCGTGAGGGAATAATTCACAGCACGGAGTTTTCGAAGTGGTCGACATTAATTGTACCAATAGTGAAGTCGGA